TTATTAATATCAAAAGAATAATAAACTATCCCCACATTTCTTTACAATTTTTGTTCAGTTTAATTTCTAAATTATTATATACTTAGTCTTTACTATTTACAATTCTCATTAACTTTAATATGGGGACAGCAGTAAACAGATAACAATAGTAATGTAAATGTTTTAGTTCTTATATAGTTTAGATGGGATGACCAATAAAATAGTTTGTGTTGATAGTATAGTTGTAGGCTTTCAATATTTGGAAATGATTGTTCGTTTTAGTCGAGTAAAAAGAATATAACCCGTATAATTAATGCTTGAATTTTGCTGTTGGAAAAATTATATCGGTGATATATCATATATCTTGAAAAAGTGGTATATTGAAAAAGACACTACACCTTTATTTGTTTAATTAAGCAATGACCTTGCTATTTGACCAATATTCCAATAAACTTTTCACATAATGTGATGTCAGATGCTTAAAATACACAAAATTATATTATATATACTTTTAAATGTAGAATATTGTATTAATAGGATTCAGGATATGCTCTTGTATATGCTGTATTTTTTCAAAAATTAAGAAATTTAATTTATTTGATTTATAAATAAATCCATGAGATTGTAAAAATTCTATATTTGAAGAAATTCTTTCACAGTATCATAATTCATATAATAATTTTTTTTTTCCATTTATTATATTAAAGCATAAATGAGATTATTATGTATAGTCAAACTTTAATCTTCAGATCAAATGTACAACATTTCCACTACTCTGGCACCTGTGCGAGCGTTCTTCAAAGTAGGTCAAAAATAAATTTACATACAAGCTGTCAAAGACCAAAAACATTTACTTCATCTAAAGATAATCATGAGAACGAGATTATAAATGAGAAGGAAAAAAGATTTAAATAAATTAGTGAATGAAAATGTTAATCGAATATGAAGAGTTACCGAAAAATAAGACGCACTTGGTTTGCGTATCTGCGCTATCCAAGCTATTGAGGTTGTAGTGCTCACAGCTTTCATGTGCTTGGCAATTGAATATTTACTGTTTTAATCAGAAAATGGGCTCTTTCATTGATCACTATAAGCACACATCTAATTGACGTTTTTGCTAGACTTTACCAATAAAATTGTCTTACACACAAATCAAGCGATTTCCTCGCCATTGTTAGTTCGGTTAAACTTAATGAGCTTCCTTCCCTCCACATGCGTTTGCTTTAGTTAGCAACTATTGAAATTTCATTAAACCAACATTAAAGTAAAATGATAGATACAGATACGGATACAGATACAGATACAGCTACAGACAAAAGGTACAACAATAAAACGTTTTCAGTTCTTGTTGAACTTGTTTGTCCAACGATGTTTATTGTGGTCAAGTATGGATCCATTACTTCGGTTTCTCTCTATAAAGTAGTAAAATTTTAATAAAATTTCATTTGAACATTGGAACTTTAATTTATGCTAAACCACAGTATCTTCATAGCACTTCTGTACATAATTCAGTACAGATTTATATAGACAATGAGTTCATATAATAATATTAACTAAATAGACATTGTTCCATTGTATTTAAGGGGGATTTTTTTGATTGCTTCAAATTTATTTTAATTTGTATTTAATTAAAGTAAAAAAAAACATTATTTAAACTGTGAAGTGCAAATATTTTTTATTTTCTTTTGAATTTATTTAATATTTATTTGTTTACAGAATTTCATTGTGGATTTGCAGATGTGTTTAAAGTTTTCAGTTAAGACACATAAACCTTTTCACCAACTTTGCTAACTATGACGCTCTACGGCAAACTCATTCTAAGCAATGAGTTCTAAAGTATTTCCGACAGCGATTGTAGTTTTATTTGAACAAGTGTTCGATTTGACTATGAATAATAAGAAGTTTGTTTTTAATTAATAATATCATATGATACGTCCATATTTTTTATAAAATTCTTAATTGAATCTAAGTGTAGGCTTTAACCCTAACAACTGTCTTCACTTAATGTTACTTAAAACATTTTTGGTCAATGACTTTATTTATACTATACTTAAGCTCGTGTCCTACTAAACCGAGTCTATGTCGATTAGAAAAGAATAGAATAAAATAAAAATTTATTTTAATTTATTTTTTAGATTAATCATAAGTTTGAAGAATTAATGGCTTAACGACTTTAAATCTAAAGAAATTACGAGTTTAAACCTTACATTAACATTTGTACTTGTCTAGTAATTTTAGATACATATTCGGCTACAACTATTGCTCGGGCCCGGCCCGACCTTTAATAAATCTCTTCGCAAATCCAGTATCATCTACTTGAGCACCGCTAGGTTCTAACATCCTGCTCTGCATCATCAAAGCAATTTGGACGAAAAATTATACAGGTAGGCTCATAGATGTAATAGCTCTCTCAGAAATGTTATAAAAATCTTTCTTCTAATATAGATATATGGGGGTAAGGGAATAAGTTTAAAAGGTGAAGTGTCTGATTGTATTTAACTTGATAAATGCCAGAACGATACCTATCACTGTTATCTCCAAGTTGACACACAGCTTTTACGTGGCCCCCTCTGGATAGCTACAATTATCGTACATATTGAACTAATGTGTACAGTGAAACTTTATTTATGTACACATATGTGAAGTTATGTCTTGGTCTTGGAACCCATAATATAAAACATTGCTTTAATGAAAATGAAGAAGAAGCCTTGTAAATACCAGAAATGACGTCAACATAAAGACTGAACGGAGAATCACTCTTGCGAACAGTTGTTACTTTTGGCTAAGTGTCCAAATGAGAAATAAATCCCTCTCTCGACAAATAAAAATCACACTATGCCTGTCCTGCTGTATGGTGCAGTAGCCTGGACAACTATCAACAGAAATAAGAAGGCATTATGAGCATTTTCGGAGAATTTACGGAAGGCTACTATACCGTGACATTGACACGGTCAATGCGAGCATCTGACCAACACTAATATTGGAAACATCATCGAGTTAGAGAATGGGGAACTTAATACTTTATGCCTAGTTCTGAATATGCCTGCACTCAGAAAAATAATTTGGTTGATTTAATCTCGTTTAACTAAATCTCAGGTTAAAATATTCTTACTCGATGTGTCATATTGGTTCAACCATACAACATGTTGGTTTTCATGTCTTCTTAACCACATTAGCTAAAATATCTTTAACAAAATAATCAGATC